GTGGGGATGTCATTGGTGTAGAGGGCGTATAGGATAGGTGATAGGACACTACCCTGGGGAACCCCGGCCGTAATGGGACGCACGGAAGACCGTGCGCCCTCGACCGCGACAAAGAAGGTTCTGCCCTCCAGGTACGACCCGAGCAGTCGCACGTGAGCGTGCGGTAGGCCCGCGTCCCGCAGCTTGTGGACCAGCCCCTCGTGCCACACACGGTCGAAGGCCTTCTCGATATCGAGAAGGACCGCGACCGTGTATTGGCCCGAGTTTCGCCGGTCCGCCAAGTGATGCAGGATACGGGTCAGTTGCAGAGTCGTCGAGTGGCCGCTTCTAAAGCCGAATTGCTCCAGCCTGAGGAGAATATACGGCGATATTCTCCTCAGGAGCAGCCGCTCGAACAACTTGCCCACGTGCGAGAGCAAGGTAATCGGTCGGTAACTGGAGGGCTTTCTCCTGTCCTTGCCGGGTTTGGGCAAGACGATGATCTTCCAGGGAAGTGTCCTACCCGGAGAATGGAATTAAACAATCGTGTCATTGCTGACACGATTGAGGGAGGGAGGTTTTGCAAGGCGAGGGGAGGAATACCGTCCTCGCCGGGGGCTTTGCGCCTCTTCATCAGCTTGATGAGGAGGCGCACCTCGCTAGGAGTGACTAAGTCGTCATCTCCCAGCTCTACTCCCGGCGATTCCGGTTTGAGGAATTGGATTACGCCCTCTGACACCTCCCGATGGAATGCAACCATCGAGGGTGCAGAGACATTCGGAGTGAACTGCCGCTCCAGCGAGTTGGCCAGGACTTCAGCACGAGCCAAGGGTGTAAAACACCGTCTTCCCCCCTCGTCCTCCAAGGGGCAAGTGGGGGAAGGCTTGTTTGTGAGCCGGCGACAGATGCGGTGAAGGGGGGCCATCGTACGGTCATCGGACGCGTCCAACAGTCCCCCCTCCCAGGAGTCACCCCGGTAAGTCCGCATCTTAGTCGCCAGCTCATCCTCAAGTCGGTTTAGCTCGCGCTTAATCCTGGGACACCTAGATGTCGCCCAGAGCCTCCTCAGTGCCCTCTTCCGACGAATTAACGTCTTGAGGTGCACCGGGAGTTCCGCTCTGGGCCCCCCGCTGGGTACCAGAGTCGTCGCTTGGTCCAGGGCTCCCCTGATGGTGTCGACGAGACGGGAGGCCGCCGTGTCGACCTCATCAGGGGTAGACGGGTCTTGAAACAGGGATTGGTCGGCCAGCAGTCCCGTGAAGGACTGCCAGTCGACCCTAGGCCTGAGAGGGGATGTCGCGACCCGAGTGAGCCCCAAACCCACCGTGACCAAGATCGGTAGGTGAGGGGTACTCAGGTCGTACAGTGCCTCTATCGCTAGAGGGCACCGTAGCCCCTTGTGAACACACACGTCCAAAACGTCCGGTTGGTACCGGGCCAACGTTGGAACGTGGGTGGGTTCGTTGGTGCCGACCACGCAGTAGTCCCCCCTGATAAGCACCGAGCTTCAGGTCTTGTTTTATAATACGCGATAGAGTCCTAGCGGGAATCTTCATTCCTTGCGATAACATTTTTTGCTTCCTAATGGGTATTCGACGAATTCTGGCTTGAACAGCAATAGCAAATTTATAGTTCTAACAGCACGCGGCCGTCCCAATCTTTTCTGATCTTCGACAGACGAAGTGTTACTGTATCTGTTGATAGTACGATATACGAGCATACGGCTGATACCAAGCTTTTGAAGTGTCTGGAATATGACCGACGGCTCCATACCCACTTTCTGCAAGGCGATCACTGCAAACCTATTTTCTTTAACACCCCATGCCATATTGTAATATGATAATGAACACGAAAAAATATGTGAAATGGTGCAAAATTGAAAGAAGTTTTTAAAATAATATATACGTGTTCCAAATTCAAAATAATTAAAAAGTTGAAAAAAAAAGAAATGTTTTTATGTAACAATATTTATGGCCAGACTAGTTATACAACATAATTAATTATAACATTTGTACCTTAGCCAATATACTCTTTGAAAAAGAGTGATAATATACTTATTATTACCTTAGTAGGCAGACGACATACCCTGCACCTGGTGATCAATGGATACCGTCACACATGGACGTCACCAATGCCAGGAGCACAGCCAAGTCAACAGCAAATGGGACGGAACACTGACCTGAAAAGCTGCTAGCTGACCTAAAAAAACTCTAACGGCTCTCCGACCGTAGCATTCATTGTGTGCGGACGCGCTTTTCAGCCGCCCGATCGCCAAACCGCTTGTTCGCGGTACATCTGGCCTTCACGTTCTTCCAAGCTTCTCGGAAGCTGTTACCTACATTGAAGCGCGACACCTACATTTAACTGCGATGCATCGCCATCTGGGACCAAATAGCGCCGCCAAAAGCGGGAAAAAATACCGCCTTTACAGTTCCTAGAATTCGTAGTAGTCCTATTGTGATCAGTCGGTTTACGCTGTTATTTACAACTGCCGTTTTCATGGCAACCCCCTTTGTTTGATATCCGCCCACTGTATCATTATACAGTTCAAACAAGGTTCCCCACTCTAGCCGCTGCCATTTCCACGGCGAACGGACCTTCGTTAATCTAAACGCCGAGGGAGTCCTTCATTGGGGCCTCGCCGCAAGTTGAGCGCGCGAAAGTCCTGGGGCAGCCCTCTCCGGGCATCACGTCAAGGATGGATTCGTCGACCATTGATCAAGTTCTTGCGTGAACGTCCCCCTGCGCTAATTCTAGACTTTCTCGATTACAAGCGCGTTGCTACCGGGGCTTCGCCCCACACGCCCCTTCACCTCACGGGGTTTTACCCCTCAGTCGCACCCACTGCCCCCAACACCTCCGAGAGATCTGCACCTGCGCCCACATCTCCACTTACCACCGCGCCGTCGTCACGCGATTCGTCCATTCCAACTTCCGCTGCGTCCTCCATCGCTGACTCCGAATCGGACTCCGAGATGAAGGTAGAGGAGTCGCCCACTATCGCGTCGTCTGACGATTTAACGACTGTCGTACGGGGTAAATAATGTGCATGCGCTGCGAAGTCCCGTGATCCCTCCAAACTCCCTAAATCCGCGAACGTTTCACACGTTAAAATCCTCGAGTCGTACTCGGCCCGCTGCGCTACCCCGTCGCCGCGACCGCAAACCGCTCCTAAAAACCTAGCTCTTCCCCCGCTGATCCTTCAAGAAAACCCAGCGTGTGATTGCGTCTTCCACGCCCTCCGCACGCTCAGAATTAATTATACCAGCGCGTGGGTACAACCTTGGTAACAACCTTGGTAACGGGATTCATATTAAAGTCCCCACCCCCCACGACCACCGCGCGCTTGCAGCTTACCTCCGAAAGGAGCATATAGGATATCACAGCTATACGCTTCAAGAAGATCGCGAGCACCGTGTCGTCATCCGCGGTGTCCCCAAAGAGTTTGACGTGGAACTCATTAAGACCGATATAAAGGAACAATCGTGTCCGGTAGCCGCTGTGTACCGCACGCACAGCGGCCAGGGAAAGTTCCTACACAAATATGTGGAACTCAATCGTGAACATTTGTTAAGTACGTATTTGATCAGAAATATTGGTACTTGACTGCGAGATTCGAACACCGTTGCCGGCCGGCCCGCACTCTGTGTACCAAGGATGGGCACCGCTTGTGTATGGTCGCATGAGCCACTACGAATATGCCCGAGGCGCTACAGAATCGGGGCAGCCCCAACAAAGCCCTAAAAGCGTTATTGAACTGGACGCGGACGGCGCTGCATGCACGTTGCGTATAGTCAACCCACAGAGCACAGGTGTACAGAGAACACCCGTCTGAACTCCGCGCAAACCTGCGAGCCCACATACTCGCCCGCACCGACAACGCTCTCCGCTCCCGTTCAATATCCTTAATATCGCTAAGGTCGGCAGTTACTATATGTCCCAGATATTTAAATTCATAAACGCTATCTAGGGGAGTACCATTCAAGAACACTGGTGGTATACTCTGAAGACATTCAGCACTACCACCTTTAAATACTATAAGCTGGCTTTTGCTAGTATTGTATCTCAGACCGTGACCACCGGCATATTCCTCACAGACACGTACAAGCTCTCAGAGTCTAGTGTTGCCTCGTTTCAAGAACACAAATTAGAAATAGATTGCACAATGCTATATCTAATCAAATGAAAACCCTTACAATGCTAGACATCAAGCTACTAGAAGAATTGAAACTTCAATTAAAAAAGCTGGAAATAGCCAAATATTAGAATACAATAATTGAGTTGCGCCAAATAATTTCAGATTCGAAACAGAATTAGATGAGCATTGAAAAACCATGTAACAAACATAAAGAAGATAGAGAAACAAAAGTTAAAAACAACTGAGGTACAATTTATTTTTATTTTATATCCTTTAAAGTGAACATGACATCATATTCTAACCTTTATAAAGCATCCGAACGGACACAGCTGAGGCAGACCTTGACAAGCCTGCCAAAAACCGGTATTATTTTTGTAAATGGCTGCTTATTGCATTTTTTATGTAAAATTCAATTATGACGTAACATATGTACTTGTTTCTGAGAATCAATCATTTTGTTCACTCGCACATCACTGTTATATGTATAGTGAACACTTTAAAGGACACATAAAATTTGTGACCGGCGATTTCATGACTTAAGTGGTATTAGGTAGCTACCAGAATCCATAGACAAGATAACTTTAATGCCACAACCCAGCGTAGCGTAGTAACGAGGTAGTCTCAATTATGGTAGTACTATATGGGCGCAACTGGCCCACGGGGCTGTTGAGAACAGAACGCGTTACTGTTATGCCACAGAAACTGACGCAAGGATGGTACCTACTTGTAGAAGCTCACCACTAATATGTGTAAGTTGCATCGCGCATGGGCGAAGCGTCAGCGGTGTCGCTTGCCTCTCGCAATCTGCACTCATCCCAAAACATCCTTCAGACGTAATTAATGTGTCGTATCGTAACGTAGCTATCAATAACGCATCGCACAATCTGTCATCAGTCGGCGCGCGCACGACATGTCTCGTGTCACGCTCGTGTCTTGTGTGCTGCTCCTCCTCGCTCTCGGGACTTCCGCGGCCGACATAGAAGGTAAACTAACCTTTCCTTATTAAAAAAATAACGTAACATATTCAGAGATTTAACCTTTAGTGACAAAGAAATTAACGGCACAACATGCTTTCCTTCAAGTCAAATTTGAAATTAGGTAGTCCTAAAAGAATATGAAATGGTTATTAGTATTATCCATGAGCATGAATGACCTCTCGCCACAAGATGGGCTGAAACTTCATCTGCCGGCGGTCGTCGTCGTGGATAAGGCTTCCGGTGTATTCGTATCTGCGACGCAACGGTTTAACGGTAACGCAATTTTAATTTGCGTAATTACGGGTTTTAGGACCTCTTGTGAGTCCGCACGAGTAGGTACCACCGCCCTGCCTATTTCTGCCGTGAAACAGTAATGCGTTTCGGTTTGAAGGGTGGAGCAGCCGTTGTAATGTAAAACTGAGACCTCCAGATTACATATGTCTCAAGGGGAGTCAAATCAATTAAAAAATTTTTTATTCAACATAAATGAAAGTATATACTTGTTGAACGTCAAAAAGAAGTATCGCTAGCCTCCGTCCTGAGAAGAATTGGCAAGAAACTCAGCGGGCATGTCTTTTTTTTTTTACATATAAAATTATTATTTATTTATTTTTTAATATTAGATTTTNATATTGAAATGCCCGGAGCGAGCAACTCATTCCCACTTTGTGCAATCTTCTAGATAATCATTGACTTTATAGTAAGCTTTATTGCACAGATGTTCTTTAATAGTTTTCTTAAACCTATGTATATGTAGGTTCTGAACATCTTGTGGGATTTTGTTGTACAGGCGCACAGACAAACACCCGAATGAATTTCGTATCTTATATAACCTACTCATCAGCACATCAAGCTTGTGTTTGTTCCTAGTATTTCTATTAGGTAAGTCAGACTGTTTAGGAAACTCCTCAATATGTTTACGAACATACATCAAATTTTCAAAAATGTACTGGGATGGCATAGTGAGAACTTTAATTTCTTTAAATTTTTCACTCAGGGATTCCCTTGAGTGCATGTTATAAATAGCACGTATAGCTCTTTTCTGCAGAATAAATATTATTTCTACTTCGGCCGCATTGCCCCATAGCAAAATGCCATAGGACATGACACTGTGGAAGTAACTAAAGTAAACTAAACGAGCCGTGTCCGCGTTTGTTAACATTCTAATTTTTTTTACTGCGTATGCTGCAGAGCTGAGCTTACTCGCCAATTTATGAATATGAGGTCCCCACTGCAATTTGAAGTCCACTGTTATACCAAGAAATACGGTTGACTCAACAAGCTCCAAAGATTCCTCAGAAACAATTACATAACTATCTTCTTATCTCACATTTAAAGATGATTTAATACATTTTAAAGTAAATTTAATACATTTAGTTTTCTTACTATTCAATAATAGGTTATTGATACGGAACCAATGAACCACACACGAAATCGCATCATTCACTTCGTCATAGACTTGCAATTGTCGTTTAATTTTAAATAACAAAGATGTATCATCTGCGAATAATACGACCTCGTGTCGGGACTCAATAAAACTAGGTAAATCGTTTATGGATATCTATAACTAGTCAGGTCATAAGTATTGTCACACAGTAAAAACTTTTCTTTTAGAATGCTGGCCACAAAAAAGTTTATTGAATTCGAATTTCGAATTGTTCATGAAAATAAAAATGTATACTTTTAGAATTTTACTCATTTTTAAATATGGAGTGGACGCTTAAAGAAGACCGTGTTGCAGTTATTGCGTTGCATCGTTGCGGTTACGCGCCAATTCAAATTTTTAACATACTGAAAAATTTTAATATAACCAAAAGATTCGTTTATCGTACCATCAAACGATACAATGAAGACTCTAGTGTAGATGACAGGTCAAGAAGTGGTCGCCCTCGGTCTGTTAGGACTCCAGCAGTGATAAAAGCTGTGAAGGCGCGAATTCAAAGAAATCCCAAACGTAAGCAGAAACTGTTGGCCCTTCAGATGGGGTTAAGCAGAACCACGGTGAAAAGGGTGTTAAATGAAGACTTAGGGCTTCGGGCATATCNAATAATTGTTTAATCTATGAACAAACGTCATGTCAGCTTACTGTCAAAGCTGTCATCAAAAATACAATCGATTTTAATCGATTTGAAATCGATAATCATATTACTTTGCTAAGTAATAATAGACTTTTTCTTCATTTATGTATATAATCGCAATTAAATCCGGCGCATACCGCACTTGTATACAACAAGTATAAATCGCTCATTTAATTACTTTGCATTAATTACCTAGTGCAATGTTTTTCTTTTTATAATCCTGTAATCGATTAATTAAATCGATCACGCCGTTATACCGACAAAAACTAACTTTCTCATTTTTCTCCGGTCCCAGAAAGAGGATTGAGGTGATTTTTTATATTCTTATATAAAAAAATGACAAATTTTTTAGACTACATTCCAAGTTATTACATTTTGGCCCACGATTTTCCGTCTCCTTTAATACATTTAGTTTTCTTACTTTTCAATAATAGGTTATTGATACGGAACCAATGAACCACACACGAAATAGCATCATTCACTTCGTCATAGACTTGTAATTGTCGTTTAATTTTAAATAACAAAGATGTATCATCTGCGAATAATACGACCTCGTGTCGGGACTCAATAAAACTAGGTAAATCGTTTATGGATATCTATATATATAAAAATGAGTTGCTGTTCGTTAGTCTCGCTAAAACTCGAAAACGGCTGGACCGATTTGGCTAATTTCAGTATTGAATTATTTGTGGAAGTCCAGAGAAGGTTTAAAAGGTAAATAAATATGAAAATGCTCGGAATTAAATAAAAATAACAATTTTGTTTTCCCTTTGATGTGTCCCCCGTCAGACGGATCCCTTTTGTTTGTTTTAAGTTTATTTTATACAAAAGTTTAGTCTTTTATTTATCGATTGAGGCACTACGAAGTCTCCCGGTCTCTGCTAGTTAGAAATAAAAAAGGACCCAAGATGAAACCCTGAGATACACCCATTTTCAACACGGTGCCTGAAGATCTATTACCTTTTACATCTATTGCTTGTATCCTTTCCGATAAATAGGAAGTAATAAGTTCCAATGCACCATCTCTAATATGGTATTAGTGATGTAGTTTCCTCACCAATGTTTCATGTTCAACACAGTCAAATGCTTTGGGTAAGTCACAGAAAAATCCAAGAAAATCACGCGACCAAGATGGCGGCAATTACGTTGTTGATGTTTATGAGCTCCGGTAATCATTTAACATGCGGTGGACCATGAGTTCTTCCACCCATCAAAACAAAAAAAATAAGTTAAAAAAAAGTTTTTTTCGTTACATTAAAATTAAATAAGCGTTACTGTATTAAGACAATTCAAGTTACTTTTTTTGGGGCCGTTGCCGAACCTCCTTCGCGGTCCCCGCGCCTAGGGGGTGCGCGGCGCATGTGGGACTGGGCGGTCCGTAGATGTTGGGAACGGAACACGGAACCAAGGGATGGAATGTAGGGCCCAACCCATTAAACGACTCCCCTGCACTCTTTCACCCGACGTGCGATCTTCGCTTGGAGTTAGAAGTCGGTCAGAGTAGGGGGTTCCCGCCGTCAAAATCGCGACGCCACCCCGAGGATGCCAGACTGATGGGTCGTCGAGGCGATCGTTGACAACTAACCAACAACGACATCGGTCTCAGCGGTAGTTCCGGTGTACGCCCCCCTACAATCCATCCGAATAACTACATGGAGTCTTTCGATAAAAATATTGACAAGGCTATTGTAGATAACCTATGCCATTGCACTTCGATCATAAGAGATTTTAATGCATGTATAGGGCAACCACTTTGTGACGAAAAATGTATTGGCATATTTGGTCTTAATTAGCGTATCGTCAGAAAAGAGACCTTGATTAACTTTCTCGAGTGTTTGAAAATGTACGCAATAAATTACATAATAAAAAAATAAAAAAATAAATAAAAATACATTTTGTCATAAACGGAAAGAGAGATAGTGAACTTGGGCAAGTTCAATGGAAAACACTTGTTTATATTACAATATATTATATGAATGAAATTTTTGAACTTTAAGAAACGCAGACATTCTGTGCTATGCGGATAACACAGCGATTATATTATTATAAGGTGAGAAAAAGTTGCTTCGCATTTTTTAGGAAAATTCACAACATTTTTTAAAATAGTTGATTTACATTTAACTAAAGTATGTAGGTATCATTTTGTTCGATAACTTTTTGCCATCATGTAGGTAGGGACATGATCCCATTGCTGTAGAAATTTTGGGGCTTCTGATCAAAATACCGCGACAATTGGTTTTGGCAGTCCTCTCGTAATGTTAGCCTGACACTGCTTAAAGAATTCTGAAGAGACCGAAACAGGTGGTGTTCCGTGCTGGATGTCTTATTGTTCTCTTCAATGAAACGATTTGGCTCGTATTTACAGGTCTATTAAAAGATAAAACTGAAGAACAAATAATCATGAAGTGCAATATGAGTATTGTAGATAATGTAATCGTTAAAGATGTATATGCGTTCGCGATCGCTCGATGAAGTGAAGTTCGGAGGTGGACGAGAATAAAAACTTGTTTGGAGGGGGATATAGAGATCCTTAACATCCTCCGGGGCCTTGGAAGCATTTGCTTCCAATGAAGAATCTTCTGCAGTATCCAATAGAGGACAAAGAGATCGAAGCCCACGTCGATAAACGCCACTCGAAGTTTTGATTTCGGCTACTCGCACGATATTGTCCTTTTCTGGAAATATGTCGATGACTCGACCCGTCCGCCATTGCATCAGTGGAATATTCTCGTCCTTCAGTAGAACCAAGTCGCCATTCTGGATTGATCTTGCTGGTACGCGCCATTTGTGACTTTGCTGCTTCGATCAACAATACTAACTGTTGATCGAAGCTTTGCTGTAATTCGTTCAAGTACTCTAGCTGCCATCGATTCCAAAAATGTTGACGAATTTGCTCCAAGTGTTGGTATCGGCTCAATCTAGAGGTAC